ACCTAATAAATAAATCAGATATCTAGGCATCTAAATTTTGACTTTTTATAACAAAAAGTTTGTTAAACAATAATTAGAAAACGAGATCACTGATTTTATCTTGAAACTTAACACTAGCCTATCACAGACAAACTACTTAAATATCTATACAACTAAGTTCTTATTCCTCAGCTTGAATACTGATCTCAATTCATTATTTTTCACAAAAAGATGTCTTGCCCTATTTTCTCACATTTGTACGTTTATCAAATACAAACTCAAGTTCAACAAATGCATTCCAAATAGTATACTATCTAACAAATTAGTATTTGAATTTAATAATTTAGCATCTAATATGTTATACTTCAAACTACAATATTTCACCTTAATCATCAATAGAGATGCCTCAAAATTACTGCTTCCTTTAACTACTAAAATCCGTCTTAAACAAGTCTAAAACTTTTTCTAGTTATCTGATGATCCTATTACATATTGACCATCACAATTAAAAAATCTGAGACATGACAATTACCTTCGTAATATGTTTATCCTGTATCTTCAAGCTCCTTTCTCAATATAAAAAACTGTTTTCAATACTTCTGACTTTCACATATAAGGAGATACCAGAATACTCAACTTTATTATTTCATAAAAAAAGAAATAAATCTTCTCACTTAAAAGATACAGAGCCTTATTCCTTGATCAATTTGTTATTCAAGAAGATTTTTTAATGAAATATTATGATCTCTCTCTCAAAGCTAATACTCTAAATAGAGGAGCTATTTCAGGATGGTTTCTAGCTTTATAAAATATTGTTTTTTTAAACCCTGTTTATTCAAACTCCTCAAATCTAAATACTGTTTTACCAATTTTACTTCACAAGGTTATATCACTACTACTTCTTCTGACAGTTAAAGAAAATCTTCTTAGATAGCCCTTTGAACTTCACCAGAATAGAACTATTATAACTTACTACATTCTGGTTAAGGAATTATTAGAAAAGCTATAAGATCATGTTTTGTTCCTAATAAAATTGTCATATAACATTATGTCAACAACTTTGACCTCAATCATAATTCTAGATTAGTCTCAAAAAAACAAAATCTATTTACCCTATGTTCAGAATGCTCTTTTAATTCATTGACACCAATATTTAATTTCAATACATCTGTTACTGTCTAGCTTTATATTCATGTAGTCGATGCTAATCTTTCACAAGTTATAGATGTTACCTATTTTTCTCTATAAATAATAATAAACTGTACCTTCTTAAACGTAACATTTGGTCTATTATTGATCAGGCAAAACAATACTATATGATAATACACTCACTTACTGTCACATCAAACAATTTTATTCTCAGTTCTTCTTTATTTATTACTATTTTTAATATATTACTAAATAATAGTGTTAGCTCATCCTTATTGGAATTTTACTATGCTCTTCAAAATAAACGATCTCTTATATTTTACACAGATGATTCTCACAAATTTATTTCTTTATCTCTCATATCATACTTAAGTTCTGCATTTTGCTTAGTACATGACTCCTTAGATATAGTATTTTTAGCTGCTGTCTCTGCTATCTAGGCTAATTCTACCAATGCTGAAATATTCGCTTTCATTTTAGTCCTTTTAATTAGCCCTTTATCTTTCTCAATCTCTGTTTATACTGACAGTTTAGCTCTTATCCACACTTACAATTATATAGTTAGATCAAATGCAATACAATATCCTTCACTCATGTTCAAAGTTCTTTTTTACATTTTTTGATCTATTATTTTTAAAGTCATTAAGGAATGATAAATCACTATTTCTCTTTTTAAAGTTGCTGCTTACTCTAATGATTCATATAACGATAAGGCTGATCATTTAGCAAAATCTTCTCTTCTCTCCCTTTTAATTTTATTCCTAAATCATATTTCTTTCATTAACTACATACCTACATTTAATAATATACCTATACATCACCTTTTATGTTTATTTTTAAAAGATTATACTAACACCAAACATTTTTCTGATTACTATCATCTTAAACAAAATACTAAGTATCAATACTTACAAGTAAATTAGCTTCTAACCTTTTACTTCATTCAATCTTGATCAGCATCTATCATATCTTTTACTGAAACAAGAAGCTGTAGTAGAAAACTTAAATTTCTTCTTGAACAGCTCCTAATAATTCAATTTATGAAAGACACTCAACCTCAGTTATATTCACTTTTCTAAAAATGCTATCATTGTAATAAATATAATAAAGACTTTAACTATATATAGCTTTATTCTACTATCAGACAATATATGTAATTCCTAATCTCTGAATCTATAGCTCATTTAAAACTACAATTATTCATTTATACCTCTAAACCTATTTTTGCAAATAATATCAATAATCTTTTAAACCCCTCACATTCAATATGATCACTACAAGTAAATCCACATAATTTCTCTTTTATTAACCTTATAAAAGGCATTATTCCTATTACTTTATCATTAACTCTAACAATATTCACTAAATCTTCCTCTACTACCTCATCTATCCTTTCCTCTTTTTTCAATTTTGTTTTAACTTATACCTATAACAATATATGAAAAATTAGATATGCTTTAACTTTAGACAAAGAAAGATCCTTATACATAACAAAAAGACAGAAGAAAAGCAATTTTACTATATCTAATGTTACTTTCTTTATTAATAGTTTCTCTAACACTTTATTTGCTAACAATACAGATATCCTAGATCATATCACTTTAATTAATAACTCTTATAAATATGATTGACACTGGTCTATCTTCTTGGACAGGTGATGACCAGTTATTCTAATAATCTTCTTATTTAGTTTGGTATTAATGATTGCTTAGTAAATCTTTATAATTAGAATCAGATAAGACAACCGGTTAGTTTGGTGGAAGTTAATTTTCTAATAATAAATATTAGGCAACAATTTTTATTTTTCTACTTTTGTATTCGTCTTGGAATTTTCATATATTTTATACTGAATTTATTCTTTTTTATATAATAAAATATTACATCATCACGTCTTTAAAAAAAAAATAATTATAAGAAAATAAAATTTAGTTTGTTAATTTATCTCATTAAGGCCTATTAAATGACTATATTTTTATATTTTTAAGATTAATAGATAGCAAAATATATAAGTTTAAAAATTTGATTTTTTTTTATAATAATTTATCATATATTTATCTTAAAATATCACATTTATTTTGAATTTTTACTTAGAAAATTTCATAAAATTTATTATAAAAATATTTAAAAATATTATAAATAATTTTAATTATTAAATAAATTGTAAATAAATTTGCTTGCAAATGTTTAAAGAGATAAATTTTATTAAAATTCTTATAAATGATATTAATTGAATTCTTTTATTATAGAAAATAAATATAAAATTTTACTAATATATTTAAAATTTTTGATTTTTAATTAGATAATAATAAATCAAAAAATAACTTTATTATAGATTAATATTATATATATAAAGTTCTGACTTAAAGTCTATATTTTAATTTTTATATTTAAATAATAATTATAAAGCTTTTATATTTTATTATATTAGAATATATTATCTTAAAGAATATCATATATATAAAAAAATTAAAAATAGTAATGTTCAGTTTAATTTAAAGTAACAAGTGATTATATTATTCTAAAATTTATATTATTATTTATTTAATAAATAAAGATAATTTAGATTATTTTATAAAGCAAATAAAAAGACCAATTAATAAAACCTACTTACTTTTATATAATTGTAATATATTTCAAGAATTTGATTTCTTTGTAGAAATCACTATATAATAATTATCTGAATTAATAATATTAATCAGATTATTATCTTTACAATTAAGATTACTAGGCAAAATTTAGAAATTTTATAAGTTGTTTAAATAGTAAAAGATAAAATTAACAAAATTATATTAAAATCTTATTAAAAAATCTGCAAAACTTTAAAAAAGGTAAAACTATATCAAAACTTATAAAATGTGAAATTATATTAAAACTTTAATAAAAACTTAGTAAAACTATTATTTAAACATTTTACTAAATCTAAAATAAGTTTAGACAAATAATCTTAATGATCATATTTTTTATTTATTGTAATCTTATTCTAACTAGATAATCTCTGATATTTTTTAAAACGAGTATATCTGATTTCTAATATATTTTCTGTATATTTCTATGTGAATTGATGAATTATTAATTAAATTATATTTTGACAAACATAATGATTTTATTAATAAATATCAAATTAACATAATTAATTTTAACATTATCAAAATTAAATATAGTTTTCTAATAAAAAGGTATATTGTGATCTCAATAATAAAGTTCTTTTATTAGTATAATTTTCTTTTTAAACAATTATTTCTTTATTACTTATTGTGTTTAGTTAGACTATTAAAAATTTATTTTATTCAGATATAAAGAGAGTTTAAAATGTCTTATATAATTCAGCAAACTATTTTTGAAATTACTTTCAGGCAATTACAATTGCAACCTACTTTATATATTGCTTTTTATATTCAGTAGAATCATTATTATTATATTTACTACTTTTCATATATGTAATCCTATATATAATTTTATATTTTGTAGTTTTTCTATGCTTTATATGTTTTATTTGTGCCTATTTGTTTAATACTTAGTTGATTTTTTATAATTTCTATTGTCTTAGTATATATGTTAGAAAGTCAATAAAGCATGTGATGCATTTATTTCATTATTTATTGTGTAAAACAAACAAAAAATAAGCTTGCATATTCTTATTTATCTATTCTAAATTTATCATTTTATGGAATTTAGACAAAGTATAAGACATCATCTAATCATATCACTTAAATAGTATTTCATCTCAATTTTTTCTTTAAGTTGTTTTTCTCTATCAGTATTGAAAGTTGACATTCAAAAATCAATAAGGAATATTCTCTTCCCATCATCACAAAGAATGATATTTTCTTTTCTGATATCATTATGATGCACACTGCATTTATGGATTTCATCTAACGCTTTATAAGCCTTTGCTCTTGCATTCTGGTAATAGTCTTAAACTTCTCCAATGATTTACCAACAAAAGTTGTTCCTATGATGAAGTACGGTCTATCCAATAGATAACTATAGTATACTAATTTTGGTATACATATTCCCTGGATGTCCTTGAGAATGCAATAAACCTCCAGCTTCTGCATCAATTCAAGTAGATGACCTTTTTTATTTGATAAATCAGTAACTTTTAAGGTTATATCATAACCTTGAAAATCGCATCAAGACGTTTTTCCACATCTTCCGTAATCTAGATAAGTCCTATTGCTAAAATCGATTTGTTGAAAATTTTGAAATTGCCTTGACGATGGTTGCTATGTCATTGAAGAATATGATTGCGACTTTTCTGAAGGTTGTTAGTTTTGACTTCTATTAACTGAATGAATTAGATATCTAGACTGAAGTGTAGTGTTTGGTATACATATAAGGTTAGGCTTCAGAAAATAATGATTTTGTTTCGCCCGTAGGGCTAGATAAGCATATGCTTTTAATACTGTTAGATTATTATTATCAAAAGATAGAGTCTCTGAAATCAATATTTGATTACGATTATCTCCTTTTCTCTGAAGAAACCAATTTTGATCATACATTGTAATTATTCCATATAAAAGGTTATTATCGACCATATAGCTAAATGTTTGTAAAATGACACATTTCCCTTTGGAATCATTTTGAAAAAATTCTATAGATGACTTCCTACCAATAGGCAAAATTTTCTTGACTTCGATTATAAGAATGGTAGTATCTCCTTTTTTTGCAACAAAGTCTGATAAACCCGAACCGTTCATATCTGAACCAGAAGGTGACCTAAACACAATACTGTCATTTTCCAAGACAACGTTCAGATTAAATAAAACATTCGTTTGTAAAGCGTTCTGAACATCAGTTTCACGAACCACATGATTTGTGTTTACAAAAATAGGCTTATTGTATTTTGCTTTTAGAGAGAGAGAGAGAATGAGATTTTTAAAGTTAAAATTATTAACTTCTGTGAAATAATCGATCCATAAAGATATTTTTTTGGGTTTTTCAAAACCTCTGTGAGTTGTAATCGAACTTATTCGTTCAATATAGTATATAGCTGATAGAATTTGCGACAGAAAATGATCTTAACTTATTAACGCTGTAATGAAAGAGGATATTAGTTGATAAATCAAAAACTGAAATAAAAAACATTAGCTAACGACACAAATACAAGTATTTCTTTATCAATAATTCTTTTCTGTTGAGTTATTATAAAAAGACGTAGTTTGCTAAAATAACTACGTTGAGCTGTCAGAACCTCTGCTTTTCAATAAACTCAATCTTCTTCCTCGCTGTATCTTCTCAAAGTTATCCGGTTAACAGCCACATCATCTAAATCAGGTGATAACTCCTTCTTGATCGCTTTTTTCAAAATATATATGTCATCTTCGTCAAAATTAATTCTTACAGGCTGGGTGTCACCAAACTTGACTTAGATTCTTCAAACCTTCACTATAGCTGTTTTGTTTGAAGACAATATTAATAAACCTTCCACAAAACAGTATTCGTAATAAGTTTACTTTACTACTAGATAGCTCCATTTGTAATGGAGAAGTAGTGTCGTATCTGACTATTAATACATTAGTAGGCAGTGTTATGCGAAGTTGTTTGACCAGCAACCTTTCTCTTTCCTGTGGTTATTTATTTTTATTATTAATTCTAGCTGGCGGTTCATTTGCAAGTAAAGCTTGAGCATATTTCTATATTTTACCAATTAATTTAGCTTTTTTCTTTTGCGGTATTATTTCACTCAATGTTTCAAAGATTTAGATCAGATACATATACTGGTGGCATTAATGACGTGTTTACATATCATATTAGGAACTTTTTACAATTGACTATTGTTGCATTATTTTGTGCGGAGTATGACTAATAATATCAATGCACAGAAATCACATTGGTCAAACGAGCATTCACATATATGATAAACAAACAGAGATTTTATTATAAAAATGGCACTGGTTCACTTAGAAATCAAACACAACGCAATAAATATCATTGAAACAATACATCGTTTAAAACAAATCTGTCAAATTCTACCAATATCACTATTCACAAAGCGAATTCCTTTTTGGAGTATAAAATGGCTTCATTCTCAGCCTATTGCTAAATGGTATTATCAGCTTAATAATATTAATTAACCTAAAAGATAATTAACCAAAGGATGTTTTTACAAATCTATCAACCAGAAATCTGATTCAATTGTACAACAAAAAAGTCGAATTAGATTCAAAATTTTATTTATCAAAATGATGTCTGAAATTTTTAAGTTATTCAACAAACAAAAAGCTATTACGCAGTTATAATAAGAAATTTCTACCTTTAAAGAACAAACTCGCGGGAAAGAAAATTCAATGTTGGATTGTAAAGAGAACATAAATAATAAAAATAACAAAAATGAAATAAAAAAATAGATAGTAGTAATAATACTATTAATAACAGTAACAATAAAGAAGATAATAAAATTTAGATTTGCCCAAAGAAATAGGTTATACTCATTAATGGCTTTAGATCCAAGTATTTCCTTCTATGCAATCACTCAGATACCTTTATTATTACTTTATAATAAAAATAATAAAATTATGTATACCAAATCATCAAATTAAATTATTGTTTTTTATTGAACTCTTTGGTTAAATTGTATCAAAATAATGAAATGCAAACCAAAGCTTAATATATATACTCAAGTAGTCTTTTATCAAGCAAGTTGAGCAACTATAAGAAATAATCTTACATTAGTAGTTTACTTAATCAGAAAGGCCTTAATGAAAGTTTTATTTTAATATTTCTTCAAATTTTTGTTTTTTTTTTAAATTTATTTTAAGTTTAAGATTCATTTATTGGTTATTATTTTTGTTCTTCTTAGTAAATTTCATAAGTGATTTTTTCTTTATCTAGATATTTCTGAAGAGTTTAGGTATCATTAATTTTAAATACATAAAATGCAATTTTCTTACTTTAAAATGCTTCTAATAGTACTGTAATTCTTTCTATGGTAAATTTAATGTAAATTAGTTTCATATTATATATTTTTATATAGAAATAATCCTATATTAAACATATTATAATCCAAGTAAAATTTATTTTAATCAACTTAAATAATTACATTTTGATATAATATAATCTAAATTATAATTTATATAATTTGTATATGAATTACTTGCTATGATTATCAAAATTTTATTAGCCAAATTAGTTAACTTATAGCTATATTAACCTTTCATTTATATTATATAATAGAATGTTTACTTTGTTTAATTTTGTTACAATCTGCTTTATATCTAAAAAATCTCAATTTTTATTAAAGAATTTAATTTAATTTTTATTATATTAAAGCTTTATTAATTATATTATATTAATAATAAATTATATTATAAATTATGTAATTCACTATATCTTATATTTTAATTTTACTAATAATATTTCTATATATTATTTTTATATTAGAAAATTTTTATAAATATAACATTATATAAATTTATAATAAAATTAATATAAATTATATTTAAATTAGATTATAAAAATTAATCATTAATAATAAATTTATAATATAATAAAAATTTTATTTATTATTTTAATATTTAACTTATTAATATATTAATATTTAATTTATATTAAATTTTTCTAATAAATAATAATATATTTAAAAAAATTAACATATATAATTAATATTTATTACTTATTTTTAATTATATAAAAATTTTAATCTTGATTTATTTAATAAAAATTACTTTAAATATGTATATAAATTATATATACTAATAAAAATGTTATACATTTATATAAATTTATTATAAAATATAATTTTTTATTATTTTAATATTTTATAATAAATAATTATATTAATTAAAAATTTAATAATATAAATAAATAAAAAATTATATAATTATTAATTTTTTATAAATTTAATATTAATATAAATTTCTATGATAATATATAAAAATCTATTAATATCTATTAATATTATCACTGAATTTATTTTTAGTTATCTTAACATCTAAGTTAAAAGAATTACAGTAATTTATTCTATTTATTAGAGTTTATAACTTAAAATTTCTCTAAGTCTTTATAGATATCTATTATATTAGTATTAATTTGATAATTTATTATGTCTTAAAATTTAAAATATTTAGTTAAATTCATAATAATAAACTTAAAAGCAAGTTAGTATAGAAAATTACAATAAATTCTAAATGAGAAACAATATTAAAGAAAAAATTAATTTATATAGTTTTAATTAATTCATTTATTAATAACTTAAAACTTAGAATCTTAATTTACAACTAAATAAAAAGCTATTTTATTTATATATAATTAATTTACTATAATTAACTATTTTATTATATTATAAACTAACTATGTTTGTAAATTTTAGTTATAACTAGAAAAACACAAACTGTTGTTAAGTCTAAAGTGATTTCTCAATAAATATAAAAAAGATCAACAAATATGTAAATTATATATAATTATTTGTAATATGTAACTAACTAATTAACATTAACTAAATGATTAAACGAATAGATAATAAAACATTTTTTATTACTTTGCATAGTATTATATAGTCTTTAACTTTACTTTGAACTAATAAAATAAAATAAAAATAAAGACAAAAATTATAAGATAAATTATAATGATAATAAAATAAAAGAAATAATAAAAATAACAAAGACATTTAAAAACAAGAATTTATTTATTATTATAATAAATAAAATTTGTAGTATCAGAAGGATTAAATAAATTCAATTAATTAGATAAATCATGTAAATCCTTAATATTTTTTGTTGATTATTACTGTATATTATCATCTGATAATTTTTATATAATATTTTCTATATTTATATTTTTCTCAGCTACATTAATAAAAAATCACCAGTATATAATATATGAAATATATATCATTAGGGTCATACCTTTTATTTTTTCTATTTTCATAAGTATTTTGTAAACTTAAAATTTTTTTAATATGTAAATTTTATTTGTTATACTTATTTATCATAGATTAATTTTAAAATGTCACACCTAATTTATAATACTAGTTAAAAAGTCATATACTAGTAATTTTTATTAGTGTAATTAAGAAAGTTCTATATTTGTAATGATATTTATTTTTAATACTGATAATATGATAAAAATTTATATATAATAGTCATATTTAGAATATATGTATAAATAATAATGATTAAAATGTAAAATGATGTTAATGCTCAAATGCTCGAAATCATGGCCCAGGTTCAAAAACCATCCGGTCCCTCCCCACAATAATTTCACCCATTACCTAACCCATAATCATGATTAATAATAAAACCAATATCAAAAAAAATAATAACTACAACAATAATCATATAGAAGGTTCCATCATCAATCAAAGTAATTCAAAAAGCACACCCACTATATCCTTTGCTACCCATAATGTTAATTCACTTCAATGTTCAATCAAGAACCAATTTATTAACGACACATTCACAGATTTTAATACAGATTTCGTAGGTCTTACTGAAACTCGACACAAGTCTGACCAATCCTTTCATTACAAATATAACTCTGATTACACCTCTTTTTGGAGTGCCTGCCTAAACCCATACGCCGGAGTTGGCATTCTCGTTAAAAAATCCTGGGCTGTTTACATCTAAAAAGCCTATCTAGATAATGATTGATTTATCTATATAGACTTGTACTTATCTGGACATACTAAACTTTGCATCTTCTGCATCTACCTACACGCGTCAGCTGAATCTGATACCAAGATAGAATGACTCAACCTACATAAATTAATCATCAAGCATGTTCAAGATGGCATCAGAGCTGATTTCAAGATTGTCATCTTAGGGGACTTCAATGCGAATTTCGATACCTACTGGTCATACGTTAATAACGGTAAAACCCTGAACTGGATAATGGACTTTTATAAGTAGTTCTTTGTACTGAACTTTCTAGACCTTTATGACATCTGTCATGATACACCCTAACCTACTTACCACTCAGGCTCACGAAGTTCAAGAATTGACACTATTTTTATTTCACCTAACTTCACTTCAGAATTTCTTTATTCATACTTAGAACAGTCAGTCCTCTACTCGTCTGATCATAAGATCATTTTTGCAATATTCGCTGATTGCCGTATGCAACCCCATGCTCGAAATCGTATCCTACAAAATAAAAGACAAGTTCCCAATCTAAAAGCTATGAACCCTTCTAAATAGAACGAATTCGCTGCACACACGGATTTTCATTATAGATGTCACAACCTGAATTGCCTCTCAAACCTCCCTACTAACAGATGTAATATGAATACTCTATGGATCGACATTAAAGCTGCCATCCTAGCCGCCAACAGATGTGTTATACCTTAAGTTTAGATTTTCCCGCAACATAGAGATAAATGACCTTTTGACCAACCCCTCTTTCTTTGCAGCTAGGAAAGTTGGCTCATTCCTACTCCAGTTTAAAGACTTAAGTTTACGAACAAACCACTGGCCCAAACCTCTCGAATGGTCCCATATTAAGGAAAATATGGAAAAGCTGATTGTTAAATTGAAACTTC